ATGTTCGAATAATTGCTCCTAAATTAATATATACATTGAGAATAACGAAATGGGTTTCTGATTTCAAACAAAGAATTAGAACAGGGATCATTGATGTGTTCACTACTTCAACCAATTCGATGATGGTAGTCATGTTTCATAAGATAATGTCTAACAGGATGAAATTTATAGATCGATGTGTTATGAGTGGCTAGTTGGAATACCTACCATAAGATAGAGTAACGTTGATGGTTATTATCAATGAAGTAGAGGAAGACTTGTATCGTAGTTGTTTGCAGTACCATGCAACGGTGACCAGGTCGACCAATAAATTCCACTAACACCAACATTAGTATAGTGATCTAAAGATAAAAAGATTTTCAATATCTTGTTCCCATAGGTGATGCTAATGGATATAATATTAAGTGGAAGTTTTTAGTTTCTAAGTTACTACCAGTAGTATAAAAGCGAGGTGCTTGACGAAGAAGGTGAGGGTGAGGATGGGTGAGTAAGAGATCACCACCCTCATCCTTACTCTCACCCGTCCTAAGCAGAATCTTTTGATAAAAATGAATATGATATCTTTCTCTTTTTACACATAAAAAACTCTTTCCAAATTTCGAAATACATTAATTATACTTTAATTATTTTCAAAGAACAGATAGCGCTATATCAGTGCAATTATTTTTAATCTTTACGAATAGAAAACACAATGACCAAGATGATTGTCAAAGTGCAACTACTGGATTTTGTTCTTAGAAGTGTAGCTAATCAAAACGACATCATACTGTTATAAATAGACTATACAGATTTGCTGAAGAATAAACTCATTCATAGAAAAAATTGAATAAGAACTTGTAAATAGATTTTTATAATATTAGAAAGATCAGTCATTGTGTAATTCAAGTTTTCGTACAAATCAGACGTTTTGAAATTACACAGACATTTCAGCAATTGAAGAAAAAAGTGTATTAAATTATAGTTATGATTCCAATACGTACTTTGATATAATCACGGAAGAAAAACAAAAGACAAACTCTTGTCTAAGGGTAAGGATGTGGGTGTGGTTCTTCTCTGAGTCTACCCACATTCATCAGGTTTCAAGTTTTCAGATCGATTTTACGATTGAAATATGGGTACGTGACGGAATCACCAAAAAATGGAATTCAATTCTGAGTGTTGTTCAAAGAATTAAAGAACTTAGCTTAACTTTAAATGTAAGGAAAAAAAACTTCCTGTACAAAAGTTATAGCTCATGTGACGAGTGATATATAGAAAAAAAGAAAATTTGAAAAATGTGCAACGGTAATTTTCTAAGTGGAAAAAGACATTTTGACGGAATCACGTTTCAAGAATGATGATGTTTCTATCAACGTGTATTTCTTCAGAGATTTAAATATTGTCTCTCATAATAAACAAAACAATCTGATGCAATATGTAGAAAAAAAATAAAGAAAACACATCTTAGATCATTTCCCAATAACGCGAAAATTACCTTTCACAAACAACAAGGAAATACGTATTACTCATTGCCATCTAAATGGCGTTACTGATAAACCACGACTAATATTTCTCAGACGGTCTCATTGATTTGCTGGGTATTTTCACGGTAGGTAGACTAGCAAAATTAGGAAGAGGGTGTGGGTGTGGGTGTGGATGTGGCTGGGTGTGGGTGGGTGTCTGAATCTAGATTTAGAGAACAACCACAACCACAACCACAACCATACCCCCGCCCACAGCCACACGCCACACCCACGCCCACACCCCACCCTTCTCATTTGGCAAAAGAATATGCGGTGAGTTGATAAAGAAAGTTATTCACGCTGAAAAATTAGAGAGTGATGACTGCGTTTTCAATAATATATAAATAATTGACAAAATACAGCAACCTATACCAATCATTTGAAACTAATGTATGAGATAGGTAAATTATAAAAAAGAATTGAAAGAGTTCGGTATCTGCATGTTTAAAAAAAAGAAATTTTGATAAATGTTCCAGAAAAAGAACATTATAATGTGTTGTTGAAGGCTTTTCTGTAAGAAAACAAGTGTCAATTTTCGCTATGGAACTTCTCTCTCAATTTAAAATTGACAGAAATTTTTAAGCGAGAAAATCAACACGGATTTTTCTAGGATATAGATAGGTAGTAATTTTTTTACGTGTATTTCAATGTACAGTAAAATTTCAAATCTACAGCCCCTGTCCGAGTCGATTTTAACTTTCCTATGAAAATCACCAAAATAATGGTTTGTGCACGGTTTTAAAGCAAATTATTTTGATTTGCTCCATACAAGAGTAGGTTGAGCTGAGATTATGAAAGATTTACTTAGCATACTCAGCTTTGAAAAATATAGATATTTGCATTTATTTGTACATCATTTTGATAATAAATTTGAACACATTCATTGTATTGAAATATGGTGGTAACTAAAACTTATTACTCGAATTAAAGAAATAATTATTAAAATCACTAATATTTAAAAATCTGGTGTTTTTGTTTTTTTTAATTTTTATTCAAACTTTATGTTCCACGTTGATCGTGTTCAATATGTGCTATCCTTTTCTGTTCATCTTTTGGATTCAAGCTATTTAAATTGATAGTTTTTTTTTTGGTGGTTTATACTACTTGTTTGAAGAAAACATTTATCTGAAAGGCTTCAGCTATTAAATATAGTTTTGAATATATTTTTAATAGTATATGTTGGAATATCTGTGT